AATGGACTGTACAGCAAGCTGCGGATTTGTCTGTTGCGGCTCCAACAATTGCAGCTTCTTTTGGATTCAAGGTTCCTTAGTGGGTTGAAGGAAGAAAGGGTTGAAGCCGCCAAAATCTTCAAATCTGGAGGATTTGGTGATATTGACTGATCAAGTTGTGGACAAGGCAAAATTAATTGATGATGTAAGGCAAGCACTTTATGCATCCAAGATTTGCAGTTATGCTCAGGGCATGAATCTCATCCGTGCAAAAAGCATTGAGAAGGGTTGGGACTTGAAGTTGGGGGAACTGGCTAGGATATGGAAGGGAGGCTGCATTATCCGAGCTATTTTCCTCGACAGAATCAAGAAGGCTTATGATAGAAATCCTGAACTTGCAAACCTTCTTGTCGATCTCGAGTTTGCAAAGGAAATCATTGACAGGCAATCTGCTTGGAGAAGAGTTGTTTGTCTTGCTATCAACTCAGGTATTAGCACTCCAGGCATGTCAGCCAGTCTTGCTTATTTCGACACTTATAGGAGGGAAAGAGTACCGGCTAATTTTTGTTCAAGCTCAGCGAGACTATTTCGGTGCCCATACTTATGAAAGGGTCGATATAGACGGATCTTTCCACACTGAATGGTTCAAGATTGCCAAAAAGCTAAAAGACTAAGGTTTACTCTGGTGGTACTTCTTCAGAACTCCCAATAGTGTAATAACATCTGATCTGGAGTTTATGCTACACAGAGCAACTACTATGGTTATTTCTTTAAATTTTATATTAATTTCACTTCTCAAATCCAGCTGCAAGAGTTGTGTGTTAAATGTTGTACTGTTTTTTATGCTTTTTCCATATTTGAATATGAATCAAGCCGATGGCTACCTTTTTTTTTTTACTTAAATGTGATATTTACCAGATGTGGGTCACTGTTAGATATCAACATCTTTTACACAGGTCCTCACACTTCTTGTACTAGTGTTTCGATTTTGTTAATTTGTGCGAATGCTTGCATCACTCATAGGTTAAGGGAAACTAACAACGGATCATTCTGTTCACATATTCGGTCAGTTTTTGTAATATATTAGCAGTGTTCTTTATGCAGATGAACAAAAAGTAAAAGCTTTTTAGGTTCATTTCTCATATGGATTATGGCTCTTATGACAATTTTCTGTCATATTTAATTATCCTACTGGGACTCATAAAATAATATATATATAATTTAACTATTTTCTTTTCTTTTTGTATTATCTGGTGTATCTCACTTTTGATCTTAATTGCCTAGCTGTTGCGCTTTGCACTTGCATTTCTTGGTATAGAATCAATTATAAAAATGTCTTCTTTTGGTCGTCAGAGTTGTCATTTGTCCCTCTGGATACATCCTCTTTCCAGCACATCATACTCCTTTTGTTCATTGGCTTTGCACTTACAGACACATGAATGGTCTGTCATTGCAGCTATTACCTCATGACTGATCCGATAACCGGAATTGAAATGTGTTGTTTCGATTCATTAGCGAAACATGTTAAATGCTAACGATTTCATAATCTTGCTTGTGCATTGATATCAAAGATATAACATTCTGTTCTTGGAATCAAAACTCATTGCAAAACAAATATCATCTCAGTACTGAAAAAAAGATGCATATTGTGACCATACATATATGTTCTTGGAAGAGAGACCCCGGGAAGAAAGAAAAAAAAATCGTTTCAGGCTCTCGAACGGACTCTACTTGCGAGACTTGGATTGACCCCGAGTCCCTTTTTGGATTTACTGCTGTTTTCAGAACTCTTTTTCGTTTTTTTCTTCGCCTCCTTGCGTGAAGAATGCTTGCTAGAATTATACTTGCCATGACTACCTTGACCATCCTTTTGTTTATTCTGCTGCTGCTGCTGATGACTCGGGGCCGAAGAGGCATCGGATACCATCGAATCGTCACTGTTTCCCTCACCATCATAGACATCTTCTCTGATATTATGATTGCTGTTATAATTCTCTTCACTGCATCCGTAATCTTCCTCCATTGCAGAAGCCAAGTAGCTCGTCCAGCCGGATTCACTGCTACTACATTCTTCAGGGCTGAAGAACTGTTTGAAAGGATCCATTATAAAGGTTAAAAGCTGTAAAGAGGTGTATAGGCAAGAAACTGACCTATTGTGTATGAAGAGACAGAGAATGATCTTATGTATATGTATATGTATATGTATATGTATATGTATATGTATATGTATATGTATATGTATATGTATATGTATATGTATATGTATATGTATATGTATATGTATATGTATATGTATATGTATATGTATATGTATATGTATATGTATATGTATATGTATATGTATATGTATATGTATATGTATATGCATATGTATATGTATATGTATATGCATATGCATATGCATATGTATATGCATATGCATATGTATATGTATATGCATATGTATATGTATATGCATATGCATATGCATATGCATATGCATATGTATAAACACTAACACACACTTGTATCTTTACATTAAAAATTGTCTGTATTTTCACAATGGTGTAGATGAACCAATTGCTGGAAACTGAATGAGAGCACAGCCTCCCCACTGGCCACTATACCTTTTCATGTCATTGTGCTCCTTTAATTTGCCTGTGTTTTGCCATAAACAAGAGGTGAGCTTTCCTGGATTAAACGTGCATGGTTTACCTAAGATCTTTATGCTCTTGTTCTGTCTTTGTTTGTTGTTGTTTGTCTGGTAAGAAAGATGACCTGTCTTGTTTCTTATAGAAATAAACTATATGGTATGTGGTGGCCTTGTCATTATTATTTCATTCTAATCTTGTAGTACTCATGTCATCCTCATTCGACACAGATCTTCTCTGTGGAAATTGCAGAAAACAACACATTGTCGAATGAAAGAGAAGATTCAATGACTTGGGTGCTCATCAGAGGAAAGATTGCTAATACTCTGAACCCAAAGCTCATTAAAACTAAGGGTGTAAATGAACATAACATTGTATAAATTATTCTTGAATTGTTCTTATAATGTTTGTTTATTAAGTTAAATAAACGAGTATGAACAAAATTTTCATTTTCATTTAATAACGAACATAAGTGCGTTAGGTTCGTTTATGTTCACAAATAAACTCATTTGAAAGCCCGTTTATTGTCTCGTTTATAAACTCATTTATCGACTCATATAAGCTTTATCTGGTTTTTCTTTTCCTTTTATTTTTTTACACTTTAAATATTAGTGAAGATATGGACTAAATTGAATATATGGTGAATTTTTGAATTCAAACTGTAAAGCATAAGGAATTTAAGGACTAGTGGGTGTAATTTCACAATTTTTCTAAGTACATAAACGAATGCCTTGACAAACATTAAACGAACATGTTGACGAACGTTAAACAAACATATTTGTGTACACTAACCGAATCAAACACAAATATATTCAAAAATAAAACATAAAATACAAAATTTAATCAAACATGAACATCTTCCGAACTAAACAAAACCATGTGAATATAGACTGGTTTTTTTCATTTGAAGTGGCTTAAGAGACCTGTCACCTTCTAAACCAATTGTATTACATCCTGAACATGTAGTATTTCAACTCATCAAGATGCTCATGTGTTTGAATATAGACTGGTTCTTCACTTTAACTGGCATTCACATATTAAACAATTTGAGGAAGATCAGACTGTAAGATTTGGACAAAGTATAGTTCGGTTTTGGTCGGATCTGGACCAAATTTACTTAAGAAAATGAAGGAAAAAATTAAAATTTTAGGGAACGTTGTTTTGCTTTTACTTTTTCCTTGTCCTAAGGTTGTACGTAAATTAGAGTTCCTCACCCTTAAAACTGAAGAAAATAACAAATGTTTGATCAAGTAGAGCTCTCTGAAACTGATATTGCACGTGTTTTACGCGTTGCTTGTTCCATGTACACGTGTATAAACCCAGACTAAAAGCAAATATTATTTAAAATATGCATAAATTACACCATTAGTCGTCAATATATTGTCTATTTTCTAATTTAGTCACTATACTATTTTTTAGCAAAAATATCACTAGCAATAATATTATTTTTTATTTTTTTATTTGACCAATCAAATAATGACACATAACATCATTTAAATTTTCTTTGATTAAATTCAAAAAAAATCTTTGATTTTACTTAATCAATACGACAATGACATGCTGCTTCAGAGTTGGAGAACCCTTATAAAATAATTAAATATCTAACCTTTAAACCAAACTATATAATTATTTTATTTTTAACAAAAATAATATTTAATTTAGACTATGATTAAAATTGAAGATCAAATTAAAATTATTTTTTCACTTCATTTAATAATAAAATTAATTAATTAAACAACTGTTTTTTATTTTTATAAAATTAAATATTAAATCATTATAGAAATTATATAATTATTACTATTATTCTCAATATATATATATAATTATTATGTAAATTAATTACTTTAAATATTATTTTTTAACCAAGCCTTAAATATCAATGCAAGATGTTCAGGGTTTGAAATTTTGAATCCACTCCCAACACTCAAGCAATATGATTTTTTTTTTAATTTTATTTGTCCAATACCATTGTATTGGTCAAATATAGATATTAAAAATATTGGTACATGGGCTACTAGTGAGAAGAGAGAAAATGATGTAGAAGTTCAAAATATATATATATATATACAAAAAGTATTAAATCAGCATCGTAAAATAAAAGTAAAGTTAGTGATGTTTTTGTTAAGAAAAACATAGTTTGGTGACTAAAATAAGAAATAGATTGATGACTAATGATGTAGTTTACACTAAATACTAAAAATTACGACATTTAAAGTCAATAAAAAGAAGAAGAAAAATAGTGGGCGGGAGCTTGTGGGGTTGATCCCTTGAGTTATATATGATTATGGGAACTTGCTTTTGTGCCTCAAGAACTTTGAAGAGTGTGTTCTCTCTGTCCGTGATCTATATACAAATCATTTTTCTCTTCTTCTTCTCTACCTCTGGTGTACATCAATTCTCAGCAGGGATTGAATTGAATAAAATTCATACTTTTGGGAAATTATTGAAAAAAAAATATGGGAAGAAAACCATGTTGTGATAAAGTAGGGTTGAAGAAAGGGCCATGGACTGCTGATGAAGATCAGAAGCTTATTAACTTCATCCTCACCAATGGCCAATGCTGTTGGAGGGCTCTTCCTAAGCTAGCAGGTCAATTACTTTTTCTATATTTTATTTAACTTCTCCAAGTGACAGTCGATCGGAACTACTAAGGCGATTGTTACCACCATTTTCAGTAATGGTTTTTGTTTTTGGAATTGCAGGATTGTTGAGGTGTGGGAAAAGTTGCAGATTGAGATGGACTAATTATCTTAGGCCAGACCTCAAGAGGGGGCTTTTATCTGAATATGAAGAGAAAATGGTGATTGATCTCCATGCTCAACTTGGCAACAGGTTATTTTAGTATTTTAAGTAAAATTATATGGCAAACTTTGAACATGAATTAAAAAAACGATTCTAATTAATTATTTATTTGCATGTGTAGATGGTCTAAGATAGCATCTCATCTCTCTAGACGAACCGATAACGAGATAAAGAATCATTGGAATACTCACGTAAAGAAGAAATTAAAGAAAATGGGCATTGACCCTCTCACCCACAAGCCACTAAGTGAACCCCAAGAGCAAAAGATAGACAAAAGTCCCAAGGAGCTGCCTGAAACATCCTTGAATTCCACAATGGACACGATGACGATGAACGATATCAATGGCTTTTGCACTGACGAGGTTCTGTTGATCGAGCCGCATGAGATTTTGGTCCCCAGTACTAATGCCGCCCCGTCATCAACATCTTCTTCCTGCTATTCTTCGAAGCTGCTCGAAGAATTGCAGTTCCCTGATTTTGAATGGCCAATCGATTGCAACACTAACAGATACGACGACGACGACGACGACATCGGCTTGTGGGATGATGATGATTTAAATGCTTGGGAGGATTTGCTTAGTGACAGATCAAAACTGGCTATTGATGATGATTCATTTTTCTCTCCCCAGATTCAGTACTATCCAATGAGAATGCCTTTTGATCTGGAATTCCTGCACATTTATATGATTTTTTTCACCCTCCCGATTTTAAGGATTTGTCTTGATTAATTCAGATCAATTCGTGTAGCGTACATAATTTTGGTGGGTAAATCTTTCCTTTGTGTAGTCTTTTGTTTTTGATTTGTACATATGATGACTAAAAGAGAAGAATTAAACGTCTTGTGGATTCAATTTGATCTTATTTAATAAAAAAAAGATTTTAATAGTATTGATTTGACACTTCAATTATTTTAACTATTATGACTTTTATTTTAAATTGGTTTTTTTTTTACTTTTAAATATTCCAATTGCACCCCTAAACTGTGATTACCACTCTAAATTAGTCCTCAAACTTCTAAACATTTCAATTTCATCCCCAAATTATGATCTTCATTATAAATTAGTACCCAAACTTTTTTGAATATTCCAATTTCATCCTAAAATGTACGTATATATTAATCTTATATTAATCACACCCTTGTTAATAAAATGACCAAGTTATATTATTATATGTTTGAAGAAAACTAGGTTAAATTATGGTTGAAACTAATTACATATTTGGATGAAATTGGATCTTTCAAAAGTTTTGGGACCAATATAGCAAGAGGATCATAGTTCAAAGATGAAATCAAAATATTCAAAAGTTTAAAGATTAATTTAAAATGAGAATCATGGTTTGGAGATGAAATTAAAATATTCAAAAACTTAAAGACTAATAAAGGTTAGAGTATGTGGACATATAATGCTACGGGTGTAAACAAGCCGAGTCGAGCTCAAGTATTGCTGAGCTCGACTCAAACTCAAAAAATTTTATAATAAGCTTAACTCGACTCAAAAACTCACAAGCTAAAAATTATCAAACTCAACTCGAATTCAAAACATAATATTAAAACTCTACTCGAACTCGAAAAAACTCAAATTTAAAGCTTAATTGAAACTCAAAACTAAAACTCGATTTAAACTCGATTCAAGCTCAACGCAAGCTCAATTGTTAGCCAAACAGGCCGAGAAAGGTAAGTTTTGAATTGCACAAGCCCGCTTGTTTTATAAGTAGCTTGTCCTGTCATCTTATAGTATCCGGACGATGTGGGATATTGTTGAGACTTGAGAGCATGCCCATTGTTCGAGAACTTCAGAGCCTTCATCTTCATCCTCAAACTTAAACACGAAAAACGCATGCCCATTGTTCAAATCCCGATCAAACAACCACTTATACACGTCCCACGAGATTTGAATCGAGACCCCATCGACTTGAATCTTCTCGTTGCCTCTAAATTTCCATTTCAGCAGCTTTATTTGCAATACCCTTTCCTTGTCGACGCGGAAACAAAGCTCTGCAAATCCTGAAGAAGGCAAGTTTTCAAAGTCTGCTAACTTTTTCTTTAAAGCCTTATTTCTTTCATCGTTCCTTTCAACTCTATATTGATCATAATTTTTTTTGTTACATCAATTACCGCATGCAAGTTTTGAAAATCTGTCATAAGTTTTGTGGTCAAGCTGTGGGCACGAAAGAATCATAATCTTTACCACAAATCATAAGGAAAAGTTAGACCCAGCACTGCTACGGCCAGGGCGAATGGATGTGCATATTTACATGGGATATTGTTCGCCAGCAGGATTCAGGAAACTTGCATCTTCATATATTGGAATCAAAGATGACAAACTGTTTAGCTGCATTGATGATTTGATTAAAAGTATTGAAGTTACTCCTGCTGAAGTGGCACAACAACTGATGATCAGTGATGAACCCAGAGTTGCACTCCAAGGTCTCACCGAATTTCTTAACACAAAGAAGAAGGATATAGAGAAAGCTGCAGTTGAACAGAAGGAAAGGGTCATTGAAGAAGAGGAAGAAACAGAAGAAAAGAATGCTGAAAGGCAAAATTCAGAGCTTGCAGAGTCTGAATCAAGATGATATATTTGACTTAGTTTAGCTATATGTCCAGTTATGGGATAGCAAATGTGTTTGTTTATAATTAATTACCTATTGGTGCTTAAAAGGGATGAATTTCATGACGACGACTTGATTTTTGGCGTTAAAATAGTGGTGACTTCAAACCAACCACAAAAGGAACTTGCAAAATAAAATACCACTCACAAGTTTAAATTTTGTTGTTGTATTTGCAATGAGTCAATGACTTGACTCTATAGCATCACAAGGATATGCTGATCAAAGCTATTGCACAAAAAATAATCTCTATCGTGGCAACGATGAAAGAGGTAAACCCTGGAGAAAGTTATATGAAGGTGGAAATATATCTTTTGCCGATGATAGATTTCGAATTAACTCATCTACTTGCCGTGCAGACATGCAAACCACATCCCCTACATATATATTTCTGAATCTTGTAATAAAAGCTGACAATCCAATCCTAACAGATATTTCTTTTTCATCCTTCGAGCAAGCAAGTTTTATTAGTGTCAAGTCAAGCATGTAATTCATTTATCAGTAGTACCATTGACTTTGCTTTTCTTGTTTCAATTTCCCCTGATTTACAAATGTATGGACCAATGGGCAAAAAATTAGAACCCAATTCTTATCAACAAAGACAGGACATAAGACCAAAAGCGTCAAAAGTTTTCTAAATATGAAACAACTAATGCAATCTGTTAAGCGTCAAAAGTTTTCTAAATATGAAACAACTAATTGTGCCTAATTGCCAAACGGTTTTGTGCTCACCTGAATAAGTCCCCTGGTCCACCAGCTGATAACAAGCTGAAATGTAGCATTTGAATAATCGAACTGCACCATCAATGGGTGCATCGCCATTATCAAAAGGACAAGCTCCCAGGAGTGATAAACAGTTAGGGCATACAAGTTCCACCCAATCAATATCCATCGAGAGATTGCAGGATTTAGCCATAAAGACATTTCCAAGAAAACCATTAAGGAACAATTTTTGATTAGCCAAGAGCTTTGATGTGTTTTGCTCCACTGGAAAAGTTTCAGGGACATTGGTTTGGCTACGTTTATTTAATATATATGTTGAATTTTACGTTTATTTAAATTTAGTCATTAATTTAATATGTATATGCATGTTTAATAAATTTATAGTTTGGTATGTTATATTTTAATTTTTGTATTTCAATCACATTTGTTTAAATTTTCTTATTTATTTTAAATGTTCAGGTGTCATTTATGTTATTTTTCATATTATTTTAGGTTAAACCGAATAGGATCAATTGCATATAAGACCCTATAATTTATGCACATCATGTATTTAAGTCATTGGTTTAATTACAATTTTGTAAGTTTAATTTTACATTTACGTGAATTTAATCATCATTCTAAAGTTAGTATATTTAGCTTAAATTAGTATTCACATTTAGGTTTCTATTAATTTAGTCCATGTTTCAGATTGTTTTCTTTAATTAGTTGTGTATATTTATTTTGCGTGTTGATATGTTTATGTATAAGTATGTGAATGATTTATTTATGAGTCGCATAACATCATTTTGCATAATTTGTATGTTACCTTCATGTGCATAATTTAAACCCTAACTCCTAGTATATAAACCCTAAACTATAAACCCTAAACTATAAACCCTAATTCTTAAATCATATCACATAAACTTTAAACCCTAAACCCTAAACTCTAAATCCTAAACCTTATAACATAATTAGAAGGAGTGAAATGGCTTAGTGAAAGGAGAGAGAGTATACTTGTTTTGATATATTTTTTTAAATTATTAATATTTAAATTGAATCATATTTTTTATTATATTATATTTATTATCAAATAAAAAATTAGTTATGAGGTAAATACAATATAGTATATTGATATTAAATGCTCAAACCCTTGATATTTATGATATTTGAACTCGAAACCTCAAAATATAACAACAATTTAAAAAATTAGTTATTAAAAATATTATCATTAGAAATATATTAAATATTTGTCATTAGATAAATAATTTTTTTTTATTAATTTAAAATAAATATAAGAAAATTTATTCAAAAATAAATTTTAACCATTTTCAATTCAAGAATATTTATTCATCAATAATGTTTTTAATATATTTTTAATAATGTAATTTTTAAAAATATAAAATTATAATATAATATTTTTTTCGAGCTACTCACGAGCTTTTCGAGTCGAGTATCGAGTAGCTCGTTTCGGCTCGTTAAGAACTCGAGTCGAGTTCGAGTTCGAGTCGAGTCCATTCGATTCGAGTATTTATCGAGCCAAGATCGAGTCGATCTCGAGTAGCTCGCAATCTATCTCGTCTCATTTACAGCCCTATATGATGCAATTAGCTCTATTATTTTATATATAATATCGACAAATACGTTGCCTATATTTATTAGCTGTATAAATAATGTTAAAAGGTTTTACCAAAAAAAAAATATAATGTTAAAGGGTTGAACACGTAAAAGTGATGCAAGCAATCAATAATTTATTTGTATGTTTTTAAATGCCTCTTGGCTTTATTTTATTAAAGGGTGAGTTGGATGTAATATATAATTACGGTGTGTTTAAATAATTATAATTATAATTAATTTATGAATCTAGTTAAACTCGATATAATTAAAGATTTTACTTTTACTTTTTATTTTTAATAAATATTATTATTGTTAGTAATAGTTTATATGGATTTTACAACAATAATCATAGTAATTTTATATTTATTATATCTAAATAAATATTTGAAAAATATTTTCAGATTTAAGGATGATTGTTTCTAATAATAATTAATATTATTTAAATTTAAATTTATATAATCATGTAATTATAATTTATATAATATAAAATAACATGAGAAATTAAGATGTATTTATATTATGTTAGTGGAAACCGAAAATTTATAGGAATAATGACATTTGGTCTAATCATCATCACTAATGACGGACTCATGATTTTATATTACAAAAGTGAACTTATAAATTTTTATAAAACAAAAATATATTATAAATAAAAAATATACAAAAAATAAAAAATTTCAAAGGAGGCGACTACCCTCTCGCATGTTCTCATTGGTTCATCCCTGATTACATATAAATATTTCAACTACACAGCTTGTTCGTCAACCCAATGTATGTGAACTTGTTGATCATTATCTTTTTATCA